ATTTCATGAGAAAAATTGAATTGCGACTTGGTTTATGGAAACAATCATTATAGGAATCATCTTCTTTTAGCCATCTACTAATTTTGAACTTTTGACTGAAAAGATTTGTTCCAATCATCTGCCAGAAAAAAAAAACAAAAATAATCATATTCTCGCTTAGTTTGATTTCGTGTGAATGCGATCTTGTCAACATATTGTTTTGTGCAACTCCTAATACTGTAATTCTACGATCTTGCTTTAGTACTCTTCTCAACAATATATTGCCTTATTATATTGGAACAAATTTCCACAAGTTTAGGGAAAATCATAGAAGAGTACTAGATGCAAATTATATTCCTATTGTGTAGAACGCATTCTTCGAAGGCCCAACACATATATGACTAGCCCAATGGTCCGTTTTCGGTTGCGTTCGGTTCAATGCCAACGCCAGATTCAGAGGAACGAGACAAAAAAACAAACGTGTCCTCAAATTAACCCATCTCGTTTACACATGCAAGGGCTGCATGGTGACGCAATTAACACGTGGCGTGCTATTGCATGACGACGCCATAGACACGTGACTATCCGCCCCTCTCCTCATATATGTAAGCAATTTAACACTCGTAGCTATTCCAAAATATATACACATCCTTCTCTCTTCTATCTCTCATTCATTCTCTCATTTTCTAGTAAACAACAAAGAATTAGGCAAAAATGGCGGATACAACCAGAACCCATCACGATATCATGAACCGAGATCAGTACCCGTTAATGGGCCGAGACCGTGACCAGTACGGCCAGATAGTGGGCCGAGACCGTGACCAGTACGGCCAGATGTCCAGCCGAGACTACTCCAAGTCTAGGCAGATAGCTAAAGCTGTTACTGCCGTCACCGCTGGTGGGTCCCTCCTTGTCCTTTCCAGCCTCACTCTTGTTGGAACCGTCATAGCTTTGACGGTTGCCACTCCTCTGCTCGTCATCTTCAGCCCGATCCTCGTCCCGGCTCTCATCACTGTCGCATTGCTCATCACTGGATTTCTCTCCTCCGGTGGCTTTGGCATAGCAGCCATTACTGTCTTCTCTTGGATCTACAAGTAAGCACTTATGTATTATCCATTTGGGGTATAGTGTATATTTTTGTGTGCATCAGTAGTGACGAATACAACAATTAATATATGGTACTAGGGGCATTATATATGTGTTAAAATATAAAACTACAAAATCATATATAAACATCTAATAAGCAGAATCTGTTTGTGTTGGTTCATTTTGTTTTGTATTTCTTAAATAGAAAATTGACAAACTGACGGAAAAACAGAAGTTTGTGTACACATATGTACAAATGTTCCTGTCTACATGCATGCATTGGGCTAGATGACAATTTTCAGCTGGATTATAATATAATACTGGATTAAAAGACCTTAAACTCCAGAGGTAGCTTTGGATGGCTTGGCTAATATAATACAAAATTTGAGCTAGCTATTGTTATGTTTGTGTGCATGTATATATACATAAATACATGTATAAATGATTGGTGTAATGCATGCATGTGCAATGATGAGTAGGTATGCGACGGGAGAGCACCCACAGGGGTCTGATAGGCTGGACAGTGCAAGGATGAAGCTTGGCAGCAAAGCTCAGGATCTGAAAGACAGAGCTCAGTACTACGGTCAGCAACACACTGGTGGGGAACACGACCGTGACCGTGACCGTACCCGGGTTGGCCAGCAGACTTCTTAAACCATGGCACAACCATCGTCACAGTCCAATAATGCCCACGATCGGGGAGTCAGTTTATGAGGAATAAGGTGTTTAGAATTTGATAGAGGGGGATAATAAAAGCCGATGTCAGTTTCATTTTGTTATAAATTGTGTTTTAAGTGTGTCATTCTGTTGCCAAATAGTACCATGTTTTGTTTTTATTTCTCTTATTGTAAACGTTGTGTTGTACTTTCCCTTGGCCTGTTTGTAAGTGGTAACGTCTAATATGGAAGCTTTGTAAGTTTTAGTTTGATATTTTGTTGTCTTCATAGCTTTTTTGTTTTCAGTCAATAGCCTGATGGGAACGTTATTAGGGATTAGCATTTGAAATCAATTTTTTGATTGATATAATTCACCTAATTCAAACCAAACCAAGGCTATTGAAACAGAATCGGACTGACTGTGAGACAGAACAGAACCGGATTTGAATTGGATTTGTTTTAAGATCAGAACCATTAGACCTTGACTCGGTTGGCGGTTGATTTTCTCTTTAGCACGAGTATAGAAAGGACCTCCTTTTTCTTTTGTCAAATCCTACCGGACAATACAAAGGACAAATTTTTTGGTGGTACTTTTGAAAACGGAAACTAAGGATGGTGTGTTTAGAACAAAAGCTTCAATTAGTGTGGCATGTTAAGGAATTTATCTTGTTTAAAAAAAAGGTACAATTCAATCAGTGCAGACATTGGAACATATAGCAAGTTAGTAGTTACCACATGGGAACCCAAACTTTAAAAAAGAGGTAGGTTTCTCCATTGGTGAACTGAATTGCGCTTGATAATCGGATTACGGTTTCTCCGATTCAGGGGATATAATATATTGGATTTGGCAGTTTGAAGGACCGTCCAGACATAGCCGCACCCAACGAATCACTCCATTGATCACCGGAATTGCCTCTGATCCTATACCCTTCTTTCACCATCCCTCTTATATGGTCGCCGTTTTGTGCCTATCATCCAACGATCTGTTTGCATTAGACAGTTAAATGAAAGCGTCAAACATCTAAATCCATGATGACAATTACAATAAACAAAGCTAAAGCGGTCATCAAAATAATGTCATGCTACCATAATCATGATCAGCATCAAGAACTCGATACAAACTTATGAGCTACATTGTAATGGAGGAACATAGTTTGGACTCAAATCGAGTATGCGTACCTGCGAATAAGCTTGTCCCAGTTATGGAAACCGGCATTGAGCGAGTTCTCGGCAGTAACACAAGAGATTAGTTCCCTAGTGTCCTGTGATCAAACCCCTTTTGGGACGAGATTATGAGTCAAAGCTTCGGTTATAAAAAATGAAAATAAACATATGTAGAATTTAGATTGGCCTTGTCCTCATCGACATTCTTGAGTTGGGTTTCCAAGATCAATCGTCGTGGAAAGATGTGCAGATTTGAGCTTTGGTCGGGAAAAGCGAGAGGAAACAAGGAAATTCACACAAATAACGCTAGAAAATGTGCGAAGACACAGTTTCATTTCGGTTATTAATATGACTTGCCGAACATGGAAACATACCGCTTATGTTTGTTAAAATCACATCAACATAATATGCAATTATATATACATCTCGATATTCATGGTTTTAACACAACCCAGAAAAACGTAGAACTAGAAACCAAAGCCGAAGATGCAAAAATAAACTCATCCCTCTAGTAGTTATCGCTCTTCAC